ACTTCACCCGAGAGTGTGTGCATATTTGCAATAAAAGACTGCCACTTTCTTATGTACTTTGGCCTCATGTTTAATTATTTAGCTCTCCTAAATTAAATTAAATGAAACAAAACAAAAACAATCCTCACTTTGCAAAAATTCCTATGCATACATATATATAAACAAAAATATACATATATACCTATATATGACATATACACCTGTATATGTATATATACATCTACACCTATGTGTATATATACATATATGTACCTATATGTATGTTTATATATATGTATGTATAGGAATTTTTGCAAAGTAAGAATTGTTTTCGAATGTGATAAACATTTTATAAATGCTAATTTTTTTTTTTTTTGAGATGGAGTCTCGTTCTGTCGCCCAGGCTGGAGTGCAGTGGCGCCATCTCGGCTCACTGCAATCTCTGCTTTGCGATTCAAGCGATTCTCCTGCCTCAGCCTCCCGAGTAGCTGAGATTGTAGGTGCATGCCACCATTCCCGGCTAATGTATTGTATTTTTAGTAGAGACGGGGTTTCACCGTGTTAGCCAGCATGGTTTTGATCTTCTGACCTTGTGATCCGCCTGCCTCAGCCTACCAAATGCTGGGATTACAGGCGTGAGCCACCACGCCCGGCCATAAATGCTAAATTTAACAATGAATGGGACTGCTGAGTGGTTATATTTAAAGGACATTTAAGCACTTATTAATTTTTTTGGTTACAATTTTTTGTTTGTATTTTGAACTTGTATTTTTTTTTTAGATCCCAAACATTTTTCTAAGTCTCTGAAAAGCTTATAGACCCTAGGCATTCAGTGGAAAGCAACTAATGGATAAAATGGCGCTGCTCGTTGACCTGCTGAAAGCTCTTCTGTGACTTTCCACTATTCCAAAAGTGAAATCTTTACTGTGGACTGAAGGACTCAGTATGATCTAGCTCTTCCTACCTCTTGAGATTCGTTTCATGACTCTATCCCCTGCTCACAGGTCCTAGCCTCCTGATCATTTCTCGTGTTCATTGACCACTTAGACATTTGCTTTGCTTTTCTTTTTTTTTTTTTAGATGGAGTCTCTCTCTGTTACCCAGGCTGGAGTGCAGTAGTGCGATCTCAGCTCACTGCAACCTCTGCCTCCTGGGTTCAGGTGATTCTCGCACCTCAGCCTTCCGAGTGGCTGGGATTACAGGCATGCCACCATGCCTGGCTAATTTTTTATTTTTTATATTTTTTTAATTTTTAGTAGAGATGGGGTTTCACCATATTGGCCAGGCTGGCCTCGAACTCCTGACCTCAAGAGGTCCGCCTGTCTTGGCCTCCCAAAGTTCTGGGATTACAGGCGTGAGCCACCGCGCCCAGCCTAAACGTTTGCTTTTCAACTCAGCTTAAATGTCGCTCCTGAGAAAAGCTTTCCCTGTGTACCTTATCTAAAGTGAGCCTCTCTCAGTTATTCTATATCCTATCAAACTGCTTATTCTCTTCTCACTGAGTTCCTTCTCCTGTGAGGATGTCAGCTCCATATAGACGAGAACCTTTTGCTTCACTGCTGCATCCCTAGCACTTAGCACAGAGTCTGATGGGGAAAGTACTTAGTACGTATTTATTGAACAAATGAAGATTAATGTTAATAGCTAGTTTAACTGTCCTTGTATGGTTGTAATTTAACCATCCTTGTATTGTTGGTGTAGTAGTGTTGGTGTAAAGCCTGCGTGGTCATAATGAATTATTCTCTTAAAACTACTCAGTTCTATCTGAAAATATTTTACTTAGTATTTTTGCATCTGTCTTCACCAGTGAACATTAGTTTTATTTTTTGTACCATCTTAGTCCAAATGCATATCAGGAATATGTTAGCCTCATGGAAAAAAGTAGGAAGCTTTTCCTTTTATTCTTATGCCTCTTGGAACAGTAGGGATAACATGGAAATTATCTGTTCAATAAGAGTTAGATGGCATTCACCTAGAAAATTGGGCTTGCTGTTGTTTTAGTGGCTCATTCTTTGAAGATCTTAGAGATTTCTGCTATGGGTTGTTGTTCCCTAATTTTTCTTGAGTTGATTTTGGTAACTTCTGTTTTCTTTGATTATCATCCATCTTATTTAATCTTAAAGTTTATTTACGTAAAGTTACATATAATTCTAGTATGATTTAAAAGATTTTCTCTAAATCTGCAGTTATGATATCCTCTTCTCAGCCCTAATGTTTGTGACTTCTCTCTTTTAATTGATCAGATTTTTGACAGAATTATCTACATTTATTTAATTGTTTAAAACAAAATACAGTTTTGGGTTTTATTCAGTTTACTGTGTTTTTTTTGTTTTTTTGTTTTTGTTTTGGCTGTTACTTTATATCTGTGCCCAAAAACAAAACGTGTATATATCATATATGATATATATGATACATATGATATACCATATCATATTATATATATTTTTTAATCTGTTGCCAAGGCTGGAGTACAGTGGTGTGATCTCAGCTCACTGCAGCTTTGACTTCCCAGGCTCAAGTGATCCTCCCACCTCAGCCTCCAGAGTAGCTAGGACCATAGGCATACCCCACCAAGCCTGGCTAAAATTTTTTTGTAGAGGCAAGATCTCACTATGTTTGTTGCCCGGTCTCAAACTCTTGGGCTCAAGCAGTCCTGTAACTTTGGCTGCACTCCAGTCTGGGTGACAGAGCGAGACTCCCTCTCAAAAAAAAATAAATAAATAAAAATATCAATAATAATTTTTATTACTTTGTATCCTTACCTCATAATATAATTTTAAAACATTGTCTAATTGTTAATATGAAAAAAGTATAATAAATCTATCACAGAATCTATTATGCCTGGAAACAGAAGGGAGAAATAATGTATTTATTGCACTTGTTTGTTTTTTTTTTTTTTTTTTGAGATGGAGTCTCGCTCTGTCGCCCAGGCTGGAGTGCAGTGGCCAGATCTCAGCTCACTGCAAGCTCTGCCTTCTGGGTTCCCACCATTCTTCTGCCTCAGCCTCCTGAGTAGCTGGGACTACAGGCGCCCGCCACCACGCCCGGCTAGTTTTTTGTATTTTTTTTAGTAGAGACGGGGTTTCACCGTGTTAGCCAGGATGGTCTTGATCTCCTGACCTCGTGATCCGCCCGTCTCGGCCTCCCAAAGTGCTGGGATTACAGGCTTGAGCCACCGCGCCCGGCCTTTCACTTGTTTCTTTTAGATAAACGATTAGACTAACTACACTGAATTTAGAGGTATTGCATAGAAAAGATGATCTGGAGGTTAAGGAAAAAGTATTCAGTGGCCGGGTGCAGTGGCTCACGCCTGTAATCCCAGCACTTTGGGAGGCCGATGCGGACGGATCACGAGGTCAGGAGTTCGAGACCAGCCTGGCCAACATGGTGAAACCCTGTCTCTATTAAAGATACAAAAATTAGCTGGGCATGGTGGCTCACACCTGTAATCCCAGCTACTCAGGAGGCTGAGGCAGGAGAATTGCTTGAACTCAGGAGGTGGAGGTTGCTGTGAGCTGGTATCATGCCACTGCACTCCAGCCTGGGCGACAGAGCAAGACTGTGTCTGAAAAAATATATATATATTATATGAATATATATAATATATATATTCATCATATTATTTGAAATTAGAACCAATATTATATTTAAAATATGTTTGTTCTGTTTCCAAACTTTTCATACAGTTTGCTGTTTAACACTTACAAGGCAACACATTTGTATACAATAATATTCTACACTGGGGAATGGAACTTAGCAAAGTTCAGTTTCATAAAGAGAGCATGTCCATCACAAATTAAAACAAGGTGGATGTTCAGTCTCCATACATTTTTACAAATCGAGCCTGCTACAACTTTCAGTAACTCATCTGGAAGGTATTGGAAGGATAAAAATAGACTAAATAATCAGAATTTCCATTCTAGGAGTTTCCTGCTTTTTCCTGCATCTCAGCTGTAAGTGCAGGGCTTGGCTATTCCACTCAGTGCCACGCAAAGACAGTGGAAGCTTGTTAAGCCACAGCTATTCAGGCTGCCAGATTGTCCAGGCATTGGCCTTTGCCTGCCCTGAAACAGCTCTTTTCCTGTCCTCATATCTGAGTGGAAAAAGCAAAGGCAGGCGACTGTATAAAGACCCAGAAGCCAGGATGACAACAAGTGTATGGGATTTTACAGGCATTCATAGGTTCCTTTTCAAGGAAAGCCAGGTTTCTAGAATCCGTCAGTTGTCTGCTGGCTGGCACAGCAGCCTAGTTCATGGGAGAAGCACACTGGGGAATCCTCCCTTTTCTGGCTTACAGAGATAGGTGGAGTCGATAGTCACAGGGCACTCTCATGCGCTTTTTACCATTTTAGTTACTTTCTTTCCTGAAGCTGTCCTTAAAACATAGATGAATGCGAGTTTCTGGGAACTATGTGACCCTCATTCCCCTAAATTGTTTATATTCAGGTGGCAGGTTTCCTCCTACTCAGCCCAGCCCTTCTTAATAGGGTCCAAGTCATAGATTTATTCATTTATTTAGCTCCTACGTGGGGTTTGGTGTGGAGCCTCACAGAGCAATGAAGACGTGGTATTCCTTATACAGTTTACAGTCTACTGGGGAAGACTAATGTTAAACACATTCTTTCGTCAATACTGAATTGCAATTATGACCATTGCTCTAAAGTAGTAAAAGATATTATGGGAGTGTTAACAGGAGGGCCTGGTCTGGACTGCGAAGGTCAAGAAGCCTTCCCAGTGTGGAGGCGAACTTTTGAGATGGCCAGGAAAAAATGAACGGAACTATTCAAAGAAAGCAGCCAAGTGCAGAGTTTCGGAGGTGAAAGAAACCAAAGATACCATCTAGCAAAGCCCAATCTCCGCCCGCTTACAAATGAGAAAACTGAGGCCAGGCAGGGTGGGAGGGTGGGTAAGGGACTGACTTACTTGCTGTTAGCACTGAAGTTACACAGCCTGTGAGCCACAGGGCTGGAGATGCAAACCGAGCTTGGGTTTCTTAGGTGGGTAGGAATGGAGATGTATATGGGAAGGAGGAGGGATTAGGAGTGGTGGAAACCAGGTAGGTTTTAATTTAATGCCTAGTCTCCCTCAGCTGCAGAGCTACCTCCTGCGGTGGGGGAGGGGATTAAAGATGACTCAGACCTGCCCTAGCCCAGAGAAACTCCGTCTGCAATGTTGAAGCATAGTTTTTATTTGGGTTTGGGGGAGGAGGTACTGAACACACATACAGGCAAAACAGTAAGTGTAGAATTCAGATTTGGGAAACCAGTCCCTCTTCTGCAGCTGTTTAGCTGTGCAATTTGGGGTAAGTCACTTAACCTTTCTGAATTGCAGTTCAGTTTATACTTTTGTGTGTTTCTTTCAGTCTTTTTCTATGAATTTTAGGAGCTTCTTAGAGATCAGTCGTGCCCTGTATTTCACCTCAGTCTTTCAAAACTGAAGTCTCTTGTTTGGTAGAGCTGTGTTTCAACCCCTTGTACAGAGCAGTTTGCCAGCCTGTGCTTGCCCAAACATCTAGAGAGTAACTAGCAAGCGAGCCAGGAGAAGATCCAGGAGCTGTAAGAATCGTTAGCAACTGAGCATATTTCTATAAACCAATAAAGGTTTTTCTGTTTTGTTCATCTGTTACCCTTATGCTGTTGCCACTTTCACATGCAGTGTCTGTAGGCGGAGAGTATGAGATAACAGCATTTCACAAATGAAAGTGAGTGGAAAAGGGCTGCTTCCCCTTTAAGGCAGTCTCAGCTCCAGCTCCCTCCCCTTTCCTGATTGACAAACCTACCCGAAGTCACATGATCTGCCTCTATTTGAAGGTCACAAAAAGCTGCTTCCTTTAGAGACAGAGGGGGAGAGAGAGAGCAAGAGGGAGAGTGTGTGAGAGAGAGTTAGTTCAAGCCAAAATGGCCGACAGAGTCTCTGCTGGTTTCTGAATATTTAAAATACAAAAAAACAGATAGACAAAAAGAATTCATTTTTTGGACCTTTTTTCATTTCCATTTCTACCTTGTATGCCTCAATTTGCTGGATTTAAGCACTGCTGCACTTTATGAGGTTGGTAAATATTTTCAATTTTTTTAAACCAATTGATTTATATGGATCTTGTCTAACCGTTTTCACTGGTGGTGTTGCAAATCGACATTTGTCTAGCATGGAGACTGGCTTCAGACATTTCGTGGATCTGTGTAAATCAGACCCGTGATGTACTTTTGGTTCGGCATTTTAGAAATGGAAAAGACGTGGTAAAATATTTAGATTTTGAAGTGATTTAATTGCACTTTTAATGTATATGCAGATTTTCATCATCGTTTCTATCTTGCAATAAATGAAGCTGCGAGTAATTGGAAATTTGCTATTTAGAAAGAGGTTTTTAAAAAACACAGACCTCCTCCCTCCCCCCTTAAATCTGCTGCAAAAATTTGCATAAATATAAATGGGTTTGCATTCTTTCGGCTGCTAAGGCCGACAAAGGATCTGGGAGGGCAAGCCCTAGAACGGGAAAGCCTTTTTCTCTCTTTTTATTTTTTAAACTGAGCCCTCCTTCCTAGAGAGATGTAAAACCTAAAGTAAGACCTGATACATTTTAAACATCAGGTTGGGGGCGGGTGAACACCAGGAGGTTTGGGGTTTGTAGATTCCCCTGCTTGAAAACCTCCCAAGCAATATGTGGCTCACCCTCTCCTCTCTGCGCGCGCTCGTTTGCACTGGGTCTCTGTGTGTGTTCTCAAATGTGCAGCCAGATGCGCTTTTATTTTGATCGTGGATTCAACCAAAGGGTAGGACTATGTTGTAAACATGGTGTTTTAAAGATATGAACAGCTATTCACCGCGATTAGAAATTATTTCTTTATCAGTTCTCCCTGTGTATTAGCCTTCTTCATTCCTCACGAAATAAAATTTTTGTTTATTTTTACACAGATGCATAACTGGGCTTTTCAGCATAAATTCATCGTGTGGGTGTGTGGTTGCCTGTTTCGGCCATGTATCCACTGCGAAGTGGTCATTTAGGGTCACATGTATAAGTAGCAGTCTGTGTGATTATTAGTAACCCCTGAAGCTGTGCAGTGCCTGAAGTTAAATTCCATTACTCCTAATGCAGGATTCTAGAAGCCTGAGAGCAGGGAGGAAAGAAAGCTGAAAACTTGCTTTCTCAGAGCCTCCTCCCCCTATCATTGTGAGAGTGTGATGTAATGCTTCTCGGTCTGGTGGGCTGAAAGGATTGTAGTTTGTGATGTGGCGGGTAAATTGCCCCCACCCCTGGGTAAATTACTCCACCCCCCTGAGCACATCCCTGGCTCTGAGAGGCCTTGTTTTCTTTTCTCTTTTTTTCCTAATTTGTATCCTCCTGATTTATGCTGTGGCATATTGGCATGAGAAAGAGACTGTTCTTCTAAATCTGTTACAAAGTATAGTTTAGAAAAGGCATTTAAAATATGCAAATAGGTTGAATTGTCATATCCCCATCATTAAATATGTAGACGTGGATTAAAGCTAATTAAGCATAAATGGAATAATTTTGATCAGAAGGGAGCAGTGTTTTTTGTTGTTTCCTTTTTAATTAATCTAATTATGAGATGCTTACTGGGCCTGAAAGTGTTAAAAAAGATAAAGTGGAAAAAATGCTGGACCATTTTGAAAATTTGACAGTCTGGAAGAGGGTGTGTGGTGCTTTCAAAAGCTTTATTCACTCTTAAAATGGATTGGCCTCTTGTGCTGAAAATGGCCTGTTTCTTTGGGCCAATTGTGTGTAGATGAAGGGACTTTCACGCTAATTTAACAAAAAGACTTTCCATTTGAATGCATAAGATAATTAAAGCCCTCTGTCTCTAACAAGCAAGGATTTTATTATTTTAAAAAATTAATGTTGTTATGTTAGTAATGGTAATAAATACAGAAGTGACTGTTTAGATTCACTGTAAATTTTTTGATGATATAAACTCAGTTTTTGTATAAGAAGGATTGGAAACATTACATTAAAGAGGTAGTCTGGAACAAAGTTGTCTCTAAATTTTTTAATGGCTTGAATTTAAAGGGAAAAGATAGAGAAATTACCTTAGTGATAGGAAGTGTTGCATTGTGGTAGACCTAAAGGAACATCAGAGCTCTGATTTTTGTTGTTGTTTTTCTGAAAATGAAAGCACTTTTTGGGGGCTTTGCTTGTTAGATGATTCATTTTACACCTATTTCCTAAAGTTGGTCTTACTAAAGAGGAGAGAAAAACCTCGGATTTGCATGTTTTGCCATTAGCTTGTTTTTGTGGACTGTGTAAACATATGAATGGCAAGTTAATTCAGTTTGCAGAGAGGAGGAACCAGAGCAGGGTACCTGCTCTCTTAGGCAGAACAGAGAATGATAGAATGAATGCCATTTGATTCTTTGAAATGTTTTTTGTAGATTTTCTTTTCCCCCAGATAATTAAAAGGTGAGATAAATAAGACCTCGCTTCACGTATGGGAAGCATTATGGCTCTGGTGAGTTGATAGCTCGACTGCCATTTTGGATCTCAGATCCTGCAGAACCAATCCTTCTGGCTCACCAACATGATGGTCATCCAGAAGGAAATGAAAATGGGTAATCAATTAAGTGTGCAGATGGATAGTATTTAATTTGTGCATTCTGTTGAAGTTTTCTTTCTGTGAGTGTTGTGAATTGAAGCTTTAAAAACTTTAAAGATGTGGCCCATATTATGAAGAGCAATATTCAGGGGTATTGGAACTTGCACGTTGTGGTTTTACTTTTTTAAAATGAGGTGGCGTATGCAGAGGAAGTTTCTTACTGGAGAAAGTGAATATAATCCCTATTAACTTCCCCACCCCCCAACCAATCCATATTTCCTAATGCTGGATCAACTAGTGATAATATCATAACACTACTCTGTCTCAGAAAAAAATGTCACAGGTTCATGACTGAAACATCACAAAAATTGGTAGCGTTCATCCAAAGTGGTATCTCAGTTTTAAAGTGCTTTTCAGTCATTCCATCTGGTTCCCAGAAAGGAAGCTTTGGCATCTTTGATATATGGTGCAAACTCAGTTCTGCTCTTCAGCTGTGAATGGCCATTTGTTATTCTGTATGGCCACTCGGATGGTCCTTTAAAAATAAACTTCCGAACATTGAAGCAGAGATGTCTAAGGCTTCTCCAGCCCTTCAGCTCTACAAGAGACACTGCAAGAGTGTTTTGCGATGATGAGACCTTCAGGTTCTGCAGAGCGGGCTGAGCAGCTCTAGCTCTTGAGGACCACCCTGAAGAATCAGGACCACCCTGAAGAATTAGGGTGGTCCTCACCCTACCCAACTGCTCCATGACTGAAAAGTTTGGGAGGATTTTAGTTTTTATAACTCAGATCATATAATCATTGATCATCTGCAGTTTAAGCTGGACACAGCCCTGAGGCAATGCAGATAGATGAATGTACTTTGTCCCCTTCCTCAAGGAGTACCAGGTCAGCATTATTGGTAAACAGAGCGTCACAACTTGGCAGTTTACGTGCAATATTCAGAGCGAGTTCCTGGTTACAGAAGTATCCTGAGTATCTACATTAGGAGAGTCCTTATTTTAAAATTTTTTTAAAGAAGCCAAATAGGCCAGTCGTGGTGGCTCATGCCTGTAATTCCAGCACTTTGGGAGTCCAAGGCAGGTTGATTGCTTGAGCTCAGGAGTTTAAGACCAGCCTGGGCAACATGGCAAAACCCTGTCCCTACAAGAAATGTTTTAAAAAGTATAGCTGGGCATGGTGGCTCACGCCTGTCGTCTCAACTGCTCGGGAGGCTGAGAGGTGAAAGGATAGCTTGAGCCGGTCAAGTCCACACTGCAGTGAGCCAAGATTGCGCCACTGCATTCCAGCCTAGGAAACAGCGAGACCCTGACTGAAAAAGGAAAGCTGGCCGGGCGCGGTGGCTTACGCCTGTAATCCCAGCGCTTTGGGAGGTCAAGGTGGGCGGATCACGAGGTCTGCAGTTCGAGACCGGCCTGGACAATATGGTGAAACCCTGTCTCTACTAAAAATACAAAAAAACTAGCCGGGGGTGGTGGCGTGTGCCCGTAGTCCCAGCTACTCAGGAGGCTGAGGCAGGAGAATCGTCTGAGGCCAGGAGTTGGAGGTTGCACAGAGCTGACATTGTGCCACTGTACTCCATCCTGGGCAATAGAGGCAGACTCCGTCTCAAAAAAAGAAAAGAAAAAAGAAAAAAAAGCCCCGTTTAATAATTTTTAGTTATTTGGATATTAGACTTCTTTAAGTGGAACTTGTTTCTGTCTGGTGGCTGCGGAGAGGGACAGCATATGCTAATTGTTTCTCTGTAAGTATTGTTCATGGATTTACTCTAATCCCACTTTCCTCACCTGCTTCTTGTGATTAAGACTGGTGTCGGGGGCAGGGTGGAGTGAATTGAACCCACTTGGCCAGAAAAGGGATTTATTTAACTCATGGCAGTGACATCTTAACATTGTTTTCTTCTTTCCGTCATATATTTATTCAGCAATAATTTATTATGCACTGATGTAGCTGCTGGGGCATCTAAGAATTAATTTGGTTGGCCCCTTGCCTTCGATAGTTTGGTTCATGTGGAAATTTTTGCCATCTGGTGACTAACTATATAACTTACTGCTTTAGGTTATGACCGAGATAACTCCTTAGTTATCTTTTCTGATAATCAGGGAATGAGTTAATTTTTTGCTTCTGGTAGTTTTAGAGACTTCCATTGAAAGTTTGACTTGATAGTTACTTTATTAAACATTGTCTTTAGCTCTGCGCATTCTCTCTTCAAAATTATCTTTTGAATTATCTCTGAGAACTTTGCAACCTAGAATTGCCTTCCTGGTTATTTTATCACATCCTTCAGTTTTACTTTTTTAATGCTACTAAACTGTATCACCATCTGAAATTATTTGTGTATGGTACGTCTCTCTCCACAGTACTATCCGGTTTCCTGAGAGCAGAGACCTTATCTGTTTTCCTCACTGTTGTATCCCCGACATCTAGAACTGGGCTTGGCAGGAGTAGATGTCGAGTGAAAATGTGTGAGTATAAGGTCACCAGGACTCGCTGTGTGAC